TCTCCCCTGAGTGAAGTCTTCTATGGATCCTGAGTGAATTACTTTCATTAAAGCTTTTTCCGCATTCGTAACATGTATATGGTTTCTCTCCAGTGTGGATCCTCTTGTGGATACCAAGAAAACTACTTTTTCTGAAACTCATGCCACATTCCGTGCATTTATAGGGTTTCTCCCCTGAGTGAAGTCTTCTATGGATCCTGAGTGAATTACTTTCATTAAAGCTTTTTCCGCATTCGTAACATGTATATGGTTTCTCTCCAGTGTGGATCCTCTTGTGGATACCAAGAAAACTACTTTTTCTGAAACTCATGCCACATTCCGTGCATTTATAGGGTTTCTCCCCTGTATGAATCCTTTTATGGATTGTCAGTGCTTGAGAATCATGGAAGCGTTTTTCACATTCCTGGCACTGATATGGTTTCTCCCCAGTGTGGGTCCTGCTATGTACAATATAGCAATATCTTCTATTGAAGCTCTTTCCACACCTGTGGCATTCATGTGGTTTCCCCCCAGAGTGGACGCTTCTGTGGCAAGAGAGAGAACCCAAATCAGTGAAGCATTTGCTACATTCGGTGCACTTATAAGGCTTTTCACCTGTGTGGATCCTTTTATGGACAGTAAGATTCTGTTGAGTAGTGAAGCACTTCCCACACTCGGTGCATTGATATGGTTTCTCTCCACTGTGGATTCTCCTATGGGAAGTTAAGTTGCTGGAATAACCGAAGCTCTTTCCACACTCCAGGCATTTGTATGGACTCTCCTCTGAGTGGGTCTGTTTGTGGGCATGCAAGCTATCAGAACGGGCAAAACACTTTCCACACTGCAAACATTGAAAGGGCTTCTCCCCTGTGTGGATTCTGCAATGAGCATTAAATTTTGATGAGAAACGGAAGCTCTTTCCACATTCCGTGCATTGAAATGGTTTTTTTCCTGTGTGGATCTTCTCGTGGGACTTAAGATGACTTTTTTGAATGAAGCTCTTTCCACAGTGCAGGCATTTATAAGGTTTCTCCCCTATATGCATCCTATTACATTTAGTTAGTGTATCACGTCTATTGAAGATTTTTCCACACTCCAAGAATTCATAGGGTTTCTCCCCCGTGTGAATCCTCTTATGGGAAGTAAGGGCACCGGGGGCTTTGAAGCATTTTCCACACTCTGTGCATTTATACAGTTTCCCTCCGGCGTGGATCCTCTGATGTAAATTGAAATTGCCTTTTTGTGCAAAGCTCTTTCTGCACACAGTGCAATGATATGGCTTTTCCCCTGTATGGATCCTATTGTGGTACGTGAGGTCACTTGCAGAGCGAAAGCTCTTCCCACATTCCAGGCACTTACATGGTTCCAGTGGCGCTTTTCAGTTCATTGCTCTGAGTAAACCTTGTTCTCCTCTCCCTGAGTTGATGCAACCTCTCCTCTCTATGGATGGTTTGATGGGAAGTAAGGGAGGTTCTGTTTCCAAAGGTCTTTCCACAGGTGATGCATTGATGCTGCTTCCTCTCTTCGTGGACCCTCTTATGTGAACTCAGATGATTTTTCTGCCTGAAGGTCCTTCCACAATCCAGACGTTTGTGTGGCTCCTCTGCTTTGTGAATTTTTTTATGCAATGCAAGAGAGCGGCTTGTACTGAAGCTTTCTGCACACTCCGTACATTTGTACATTTCCCCTCCTTCTTGTATTCTTTCATGTAAAGGAGGCGGAAGGGTCCTTCCGGAGTGTTGCCTGCTTTCATCTTGTTTCTCTCCAGCAAATATTTCACAACAGTCACAAATTCCCAATTCATCTCGAAGTGTTTTCCCACACCTTGGACACACTTCTTTTTCTTGGCAATCATCTGCGTCCAATAAGACATGGGTATCTGCACGTGGGAAACTAGACAAATACTCCTGCTCAACCATTAACTGGTTTTCCTCAGAACTTTGCTTTCCATCCATCTTTTCTGCAACTTCCTTTTTGTCTTTCGGCAACGGTGCTGTTGCCTCTTGGCCAGAATCCTCCATCTCCCATTCATCACCAGCTTGCAATAGAAAAATAAATATTAATACAAAGTTAGGTGCAAAAGGGATCAACAGCATTGCTGTTTATCAAACTTGCTCCAAACTCCCATTTGTTCAAAACAAGATGCTTTGCTTGTTATTATTGTGGGAAACAAGAGTTG